GTGATGCTCCTTGATGACGGCTTTAGATATAGTCTTTCGTAGCGGGATAGCGTGAATGTACCTGGAGAAGTAGTCGACAGCAATGAGGTACTCCTGACCGTCATGATGACAGAGGTCGACTCCTATTCTCTCCCACGGCAAAGAGGGAAGCACAGTTGGTGACAGAGCCTGTGGCGGCGAAAAAAGATGCTTGGCGCAGGCCAGGCACTTTGTTATGCCCTGGTGACCGTCATGCAATGCTGCAGGCGTAGCTTTGCGCACGGATGCCGAAATTACGATCCGAAATCCGTGGTACAGCAGACCGTCGTGAACTGTGAGCGAGCCACATTCGTTGCGGTAGGCCTCCAGGTCTACGTTGACCTTGGTCGGCCAGCCATGCAGGGTATGCTGGATCAGTTGTTGCAGAACTGGATCGTCAGCAGTGGCTGTAACGAGAGCATGTTGCTCAGCAGGATTGCATAGAGACGACAGGACAGCAAGGATGGTGGCTTCCAAGTCACTCTGTAGGTTGGATTTGGTTGCTGGTGTGTCAGGAAGAGGAGCTCTGGGCAGGTTGTCAGCAAGAACCATGTTTTTGCCAGCAACATACTCCGCCTGTACATCATAGAGCATGAGTCTGATCAGTAGATGTTTTCAACATGGAGATACCCGGTTTCTCTGCTGCTGTCATGGTGTGTGAGGCGCACGCGACCGGATTCCACTTATTGTCGTCGAACTGTAGCAGTGCTGTAGTCAATCATTAGCTGCTGCCATCGGCTGTGACGATAAATGGTGCAGACGGGTAGCAGTACGCGAGACATGAGGTTGAGGCAGCTAGGCGTTTGAGCTCTGTGAAAGCTGGCTCATGTGCTTCGGTCCATTCCCATGTCGTGTCAAACCGAAGTAGCTCACGCAGTGGGGCGACTACTTTCGACAATGACGGCAGAAAAATGGAGAGGTGAGTGAAGAGTAAAAGTGCCCGTCGCAGCTCTTCCACGTTAGTTGATGCTGCGAGGCGCTCAATGGCATGGATCAGGGTGAACACCCTAGTCCCTAATCCAATGGCCCAGGTACTTTAGGGACAATGGGTCCATTGCTATTTTAAGCATCATGCCTGTTTCATTTTCCTTTATAAATAAAGTAAGAAGGGATGCGCATCTGAACTTAGACGTGTTTGGATTAATAGGTGTCGGTTCTCGACAGCGAGCAGGGCATCATCCTGCTCAGCCATTGTTGAAGCATAGATGGTGATGATGATGATGTCTATGTACATTGCTATGTTGTGAATATCACTGAGTACACCCTAGAGTGTGAAGTAAGCCCAACCAGTGAAAAAGAGATCCAACTTGAATGAAATTAGAAATTTGGCAGGTGATAGTTGGTCATTACAGAAATTGACTCATACACGTGATGATGAGCTAAATATCCGTATGTTGGATGTCACTAGAGCTATCAGCATTCTTCTGACTGTTTCTGACAATACAATGTCAATATGTGTAGAAACTAATATTATGATAATGTATTTGTTGTGGTGCCATTTATCATGAGTGTGTCATGCCTCTTACCTCAATGCAGCGTCATCCGTAGTCTGCTTCCATTGAAGGGCAGGCGGAACTGGTCCGTAAGATCCAGCCATGGCCGGACCAACTTTTTGGCCCAGACATATTTTCTTGGAAACATCACATCGATAATGGAAAAAACCGTCGATCAACTGATAGCTGATCCCGAGTATTAAAGCGTTAGTCAGAGAGTGTTTGGAAGTCTTTGAGCAATTGAGGAGTGGTTAGAAATGTTTTGAGGAGTGTGTAGGAAGTCGAGCTAAGATGTCACGACACTGAGTTAGCGGTACATATGTGAAGAAACTGCATTCTCCCAACGTCGGAGCTCGCGCTTCCGTCGACTGGAATGACACTTAACTGACTCATGACTGCGTCTGGAGCACTCGAGAAGCCCGTCATACCCGGGAAATTACTGTTTTTTGCTTGTTCTGCCAAAATGTCCCTGCCAGCAGTGGCTGTCTACCCAAACTCGGCGTTTGAACAGTCGTGCATACATGCTCGTCTGACTGTTCAAGATGTGACTTCTGCAGACTTCAATGGCATTTACATAACTGGGTCAATAAACCATTTCGACTGTAAAAGCGTTGTTTTCTACCCCGTGGTGAAAAAAATGACCCATGATGACTTTAGGCATGGCCGGACCAATCCTTATCTGCTTCCACTGGGCGTAAATTGTTCTTGTTCTGAGTTCTGTTCTCATTTTAGTGCTAGTCGTTTCACTTTTCATCATTCTTTGAAGTAGTTTATTTGAATTTTATTTGTTTCCATGCTACGATTGCTTGTTATGTTATTTATTTGTGTGCTTTCTGTGTTATCCATTTAACCAGCGCCTGCAAGGCTGCAGGCTGTGTTTGAGCTGTGACTGATGATGTCATTGCCTTTGTCTTTGTTGGTGATAGTCACATAGCTGCGTTGACATTTACCACCATTATTACACTCTGTGAACGAACACATACATCCACTCGCTTGCACACAGCAGCAACAACATGTTCCTTCCAGCAGTGAAGTTTTATTCCTTCTTACAGTTGTTTTGGGCACTGAGGCCTCATTAGAGAATGTTGAGTTGTTAAATGACTGGATAAGAAAATAGTCGCCTATTTTATACTGTGAAGAAGATGTTGGTGCGATTTCAGAGATACTCGGGGAATTGCGTGTTGCTCCTTATATCAGAGCTCGCGATTTCCCTGCCGACTTGAATTCTCACTTGACTGACTCACGACTGCCATCTAGAGTACACGAGATGTCCATCGCACCTTCCACTCCGCAAAATATGCTATACCGTCGCTTGAAATGAGAGAGGGTGCTCTAAAGACCATGCGCTTAATACTCGAAGTGCGAAAACAAGGTGTTAACATGTTGATAGGTACTGAAATTATAGGAAAGTCTGCAAAGAGGTGATAGTTACTGCCGGATACAGCAGTCATGCAAGTAGTTCACCTGGCATCAACCCCATGCTCTCCCTATCCACACTGCACCATCGGCTCTCTCTTCGAGCGAGTGTATCGTTTAGCTCACGAACATACAGTCATGGAAGAGTCAGTATAAACTAGGTGAGTGTTTCTTTTCAAGTCATTCAACAACTCAACCTTCTTTGATGAAGTCTTAGTGACCAAAACACGTGTCAGAATGAATAAAACTTCAATGCTTGAAGGAACCTCTTGTGCCCTGTATTGGACAAGGGAGTGGATGTGTGTGATCGGCCACAGAGCACAGTGATGGTGGTGAATGGCAATGCAGACACTTTCAACGGCCGAATGCCGTTTACCCTCTGGTTAGTCACGTTGATCATCTTGTTTTGTTTCTTTGTTGGAGTTGCTGTTTTCTTCACTTCATGTCCAGATTTATTTCATGCACTTCGTGGTGGCTGTCGCTGCATTAGCTGCTTGCTGTTGAGTTTATATTAATTCGCAAACCAAACGGGCAGATCTTCCCAATGAAAAGGTGGCGAATGGCGAAAGCAGTAATTAATGAAATTGCAGAGGGATGTAATAAGGATAGAGGTGGAAAGAAACTAAGCCAGCTGATCATCAAACAGGACGGTTGGTACTCCAGGTACTAAGGGTGTGCGGGATCATGCTGGCTCGCAACGGGCGGAGCGTGGCGACGGCACCTATATTGCTGGGTAAGGTGTTCCACAGCCGGGCGCCCCGGAAAGCGAGGCAACCCTTGCCAAACCTAGTGCAAACTGGCAGTTGGCGCAGACCCATGGTGGAGTGCAACCTAGTTGGGCCAGCTGACGAAGGAACTAGGAGGGCTTGCAGATCAGAACTTACGTGCCCATTCTGAGACCTCCAGACAAGAATGATGAACATCTGCCTGCATATCTCGGATACTCTGTATGCGCCCAATTTCAGCAGGAGGGTGCGCTCGGAGGTGTGATGCGAGAGTCCGAAAACCGCCCTTGCCGCCCGATTCTGCATGACTTGTAGCCGATCCAATTGGTTGGCAGTAAGAAGCGGGGAAAACGCATTGGATCCGTACATCAGGTCAGACATGATGATCGCTTTAAAGTAGAGAACTCGGCTCTGATGAGTCAAGCAGCGACGCAACCTCCATAGTGCTCCGATCCTCTGGGCGGTGCAGCGATCAACATGGGCCGTCCATGACAGATCCGAGTCGAGGAGCACTCCAAGATACCTGGCCGCAGTAACGGCTTCAGCCACGACGAGATATTACTGGCAGTTCTGCCACCGTTTTGCATGCCTTGTTCTATGTGTCTTATCCTGGAAAAAGTGCTGTTCATTTTGTTCTTCCTCTTGTTCTTCTCTTTCTCTCTTCACTGGCAACTTGTATTATCTGTACTACATATTTTTCACCAGAGGTTGTCATGTTGTGCTGGTGTTGTGTTGGGCAAAGAAGGAGTTTTAGAAAAGATATAAGAGACATTTCGCACCACACATACAGTTACGAAACGAATGCTGACTCGTCACCTGACTTCGAGGATTCGTCAGAGTCCCTGCGGAGAGCTCGTTTTCACGAAAGGAAGCCTCTTCATTCGTGGCATGCTCCAAATGCGTCAGATACACCTTTTTTCCCCAGATACACATGTTTTGTCAGGTACACATTTTTTCCCTTAATTCCATGATCCATGCACGTGTGTGTGTAAACATGCGTACACCAAGCTACCAGCCATATTTGTTGTTGCCATGGACATTTGCAGGACGATTTGCGAAACCTGAATCTGCTTTCAACGAAACGGGGACGAGCCGAATCAAACTTTCGTTTCGCATTTTGCAGCAGATGTGAAAGGTCCTTACAGATCCAGTTCTCCCACAAGTTTATTGAATGTCTCAGCTGCTCAATATCTTGGTTACCGATTATGGCATTCTATCTGTTCAGTACCTATTTACTTTCTCTGCTTCAAGAACTGAGACAAAGTCCATTTTAGTGCTAATCATAGCAACCATCAGATTAGAATTCTGAGAAATCTCAGCAACAAACACCACACAAGCACTAACTTACTTTCACACAATAGTCAGAGTTTTCGGTTACAGCATAGCAAATACCATGCTGGGGCAGAGACAGTGCTGCAACACCATACGATCTACCGACAGTACCATGGCCAATCGTTTTCACGTAAGACCCATCCTGATGTAGGACCTGGAAGAGAAACACATTTGGTTTCCTGGTTAGTATAACTGAAGATCTTCGCGGTAACCATTTAAAACAAAAAAATGAATGAACCCTGTTCCTGAGTGAAAAGTTCCAACAACAAGGAATACAGTCAACAGAGAGGTGAACAGAGTGTTGCAGGAGGCTTGATAGGCAATTGGACAGGCAAGATGAGAGTACAGAGAGGTACATCACAGAAAGCAAAGATGCAGGCAGTGATTTGAGATAGGAGAGTGTCAGGGAGTGGATGAGAGCCTTGTTACAGGCGTTATTTCTCACTTTTAAGGAATTCAAAAATATTAGTCCTCTGGCCTAATTTGTGTTATTTAGAACAATGTTTTCTTCCCGATCAGAGCTGTACAATAACTAGGTTTTTAAAATTCCATCATTGTCCATCACCAACCGCGATAATATTATCCACTTTTCCTCTTTGTCCATCACAGAATTAGTTAAATGTTTCATGATTTGTCATCAGTGGAACGCCGTCACATAAAAATGTAATAACTAAACACACACACACACACTTATATTATCATTTTTATTACTTGCATGTACGCGTTGGAGTCAACCATGTAAGCATGATCCACAACTTCGCTTATGCTGAACATGATAAACAGGACTATGACAGGGGGGAGAAATTGAGCTAGAACGATGATACAATGATATAATTATCATATACAATGTAGCTCATGGGTATTGAAGATATGTCATTTATGAATATGTCTTTAATTATGTCATTGAATATACGTGTAGCTAATATGTAGCTACTATGTGTGTAGCTAATATGGTTTACTTACTTACACCCATCTCCATACACACCTCTATCCGGTTGTGCACTTTCATTTCTCTCGGGTGTTGTCTTTTCCTTTTTCCCACAACCATCACATGTGGCAGAGCTCAAAAGAGACAGAAGCGGAAAGGTTAGCATTTGCTGCCTTGTACGCGAACTGTTCTATTATTCTAGAAAGAAAATTTGTTGTCGCTACAATTGTTTTGTGTTACTCCTCGTCGAGGTGTTAACAATGTAACTTAATTTGCTCAATATGTTCTTGTCACTATTATTATTTCCTTCGAGTTTTGTGTCGTGCTGAACTTGATAATTTTCCACCTTCTCACGAGTGTTGTTATCTCATATCTTTACGCTATATAAGTTTTAGTCTTTCCAACTTGAGCCATTCCCTGTAAATCCTTGATGAGAAGGGACCGAAAACGTTCGGATACTTTGACAAGTGCCCTATTTTTACTGGATGTGTGTTTGCGTGGATACTTACGACCCAACAAGTACCTTCGTTATTAAAGTATTATCCGCCTCCGACCTCTTGTAAAAATTATTATTATGATGTATACCGAAGGATGTACCTAGAGTGCTGACAGTGCTCAACACCACAAAGGCAGAGCGTAATACACAACAGAACAACAAGGACAATCAAGTAGCAGCAAACAAGCCTTGATTGTCCTTGTTCTGTTGTGTATTATTATGTATACAATAAATGAGGAGGCCGAGGGTTTATGACCAATAAAAACTATTATAAAAACCGAGCTCCCCCGAGGTTTTTCTAATTAGTTTTTATTGGTCATAAACCCATGGCCGGAGCATTTATTGTATTTAGAATCAACCAGTAAAAACTACTACTCAATCTCCAACAACAAAATTAGTGGACAGCTGTTATTTGTGTTGCTATGACAACTCGTGTGCTGGACGAGTATTTGTTGTCATTGGTTCAATTTCTTTTACTCTTCATAGGCTATCAGATCATTTTCCTTATTCGGTCTATTTATAACCAGTATCTATAATGAGAGTGTGGTCTGTCTCCATGGTTACCGGTGTTCATTTCATAACTATGGCCACTGCTCCTTGTTAAACCTTATCTGGAAGGCCCATTCTTGCATATTCCAACAGCAGCCAAGGGAGCTAGCTCTCTTGGTTATGCGGACTGGGTCCGATCCTAAAAAGCTGTTTTTATGAACTGTTTTTATGAACTGTTTTTATTGGATAGTAGGATAGGATATGATTATGTTGAATAAACGAGGTTTGTGTCAATGGGGGATTGACTTGGAGTTTTTACAAGTTGATTCTAACATTATTTAATTAAACACACGGCGAGGAGAATATAATTTGATAACCGCAATCAATAAAACTAGCTGAACCGACATTTGTGTGCTTTATTCAAGTTAGAAAAATAACACTAAGAACAACAGCAGTGAAATTTACAAGTGTGAATTTTAACAATCAAAGCGAGAAATGAACAAAGGAGAAAGGAAGGAAAGACAACGTGATAACACATAACAGCAGTACATTACACCTAGAACATTACCGGCCAAGCTTGGCCGCACTAAACACGACACGTTACTTGAACAATTTCAACCCAATTATACTATCTTTCTGTACACACAAATTAGGCTTATACAGACGCTGACAGATACAGATACAGACGCTTTCTTTAGTCAATTTCTTCTTCAGACTTTTCCCGTTTGTCTCTTTCCCTCAAAACCAGTTTAATAAAATTTTAATATGGGGGTGGCTTTATTGGTTTTGTGTTTGTATTATGCAGCATCCCGGGTCATTTAAGACCATGGGGAGTACTGCTGTTGTATGTGAAGAAAATGTAATAAGGAAGACTGAGAAAAAAGAAAGAAAAAAGAGAGAAATATTATTATTATTATTATTTTAAAACGAAGGTAAGTTATGGGTCGCAAATATCCACGCAAACACACATCCAGTCATAATAAGGCACTTGTCATAAGTATCCGAACGTTTTCGGTCCCTTCTCATCAAGGATTATACAGGGAATGGCTCAAGCTGGAAAGACTAAAACTTATATAGCGTAAAGATAATTAGATAACAACACTCGTGACAAGGTGGAAAATTATCAAGTTTAGCACGACACAAAACTCGAAGGAAAGGTAAGTTAGATCCTGAACTTTGCGTACAGAAAGAAAATGTGTTGTCGCTACAATTGTTTGGTGTTACTCCTCGTCGAGGTGGTAACAATGTAACTTAATTTGCTCACTATGTTGTTGTCACTATTATTATCTTCCTTCGAGTTTTGTGTCGTGCTAAACTTGATAATTTTCCACCTTGTCACGAGTGTTGTTATCTAATTATCTTTACGCTATATAAGTTTTAGTCTTTCCAGCTTGAGCCATTCCCTGTATAATCCTTGATGAGAAGGGACCGAAAACGTTCGGATACTTATGACAAGTGCCTTATTATGACTGGATGTGTGTTTGCGTGGATATTTGCGACCCATAACTTACCTTCGTTTTAAAGTATTATCCGCCTCCGACCTCTTTAAAAAAAATTATTATTATTATTTAATAAGGATGGCGTAACTCCTCTGTAGCCTTGTCATGATTTGTTTTTAGGCTATTACCTGGCGTGCGATATTGTGGGTAGGTTCTGTTTTTGTTTCTGAATATGTGACATGATCTTCAATGTTAGTCTCAATTTTTAGCACTAGTTATGATGTTCCTGGTATATTGCCACGTTATTGTTATTACCTTTTTCTGTAGTTATATTGTTGTTTTGTTCACAGGAGTCACATATCCCTGAAGATGCCCTCTTGGGCGAAAATTTGGAAAGGAGTTTGAAGTTTGGTTTTGAGAGATTTGGAGAGACTTTAATTTTTTTTGTAGCCAAGGACTTTGTGCGGCCGTGGGCGGTGAAAGAAAAAAGAGAAGAAAATTAGAAATCTTTATTATTATTATTATTATTATTATTATTTGAACAAACGGCGAGGAGACAACAATTTGATAACCGCAATCAGTAATACAAGCTGGATCGACATTTGTGTACACTGTATTAATGTATTGTAAAACTGTGGAGACAATGTGCAATAAAACGATGAAAATGTGAAGAAATTGTGTAGAGAAAAAAGGGGATTCAAACAAGTTTTCGTAGAACACTCATCAGGAATCTTCGTTGTACTAAAGGACACTGAAAACAAAAACAAAATTGAACTTTTATAGAAAATCTAAGTTAGAGAAATAACACTAAGAACAACAGCAGTGAATTTTATTTTTTACTTTTATTAATTTTTGTTTTCCTCCCTGCTCACTCTGCCTGTCTTCTGGCACATGCGAATACGTGGACTTACTGTTGACGTAAACGCGGACGTGCGTATAATAATGGTTCGAGTCCTGGTGGTGACAGTCAATTTTTTCTTCAGACTTTTCCCGTTTGTCTCTTACCCTCAAACCAGTTAAAATAATAATAATAATAATAATAATAATAAAGAGAACAAATTCTGCAGTCATCGCCACACTACAACGAAGTCATGAAAGATTACCAGAATTAATTTTCTTGTCACATTCATCAGTGGAAAGTCGTGACTGAAGAGTAACCATGCTGAACAATGATTAAATATACATTCAATGATGTGTTACGAGAACAAAATACAGCGCCAAAATAGAATGAGGGAAGGTGAGACAATAGAAGTGAAGTGAGAGCTAAGTGCAACGGCGGGTGAGAAACTAATTATAACGCTAAACTGTGTAGTGAGACAAACAATCATGCTGTGCACCTACGAAAACAATTTTAACGCAACTACATGTTTCTTCTGCTTACAAAGATCAGGCTTATGCAAACGAATACAAACAGCCTCAAGCACTTTCAACTGACTAGCATACCGTGCACGACAAAGAACAGAAAAACTAAAATCATCATACACCTGCAGACACTTAGGGTGAGACAACAACTGAAGAAAAACGGCAGACTTCTTACGATCACATTCACCATCTGATTCTTCGTCTCCAACAAGCGCAACCTCGTCCTCCGTCTCATCTCCCAACTCGTCCTCAGTGTCGCCCTCCGTGTCATTCTCCTCATCAACACCGATCGGTCCCAGGCTCGCTTCATGTTGTTTAACCTCTGTTCGTTGACTCCTCCTTTGATCTTGATGGATGTTGATTGTGTTACTTTCTTTGTTGAATTCCGTTCCCTTCAGCCTTCTTTCTCGTTGTTCACGTTCAGTGCTTGCCTCATTCAT